TGTAGCATCTGATATTGACCATGCAATGTCAGGTGCATGGTCAATATCATGCACCTGACATTGCAAATCTAGTGTTGGGACAAATCTAGTGTCCCAACACTAGATTTGCTAGTTTGCTACATATCTTTTGATGAGAATCTCCTTCAGTAAAACCTTTCACTTTATCTCAAAACAACAAGAAAGGACTGAGGCGTTGGAATAGCATCTTAAATGCAGGATGAATCTTCCACACTAGTGTTTGGATCTACAGTACTTGTTATTGACCATATAATTCCCCTTTTTGTGCCAGCAACCTAAGAATCCTGATTACTAGAAATAACTGAACAGTTGAGTCTTTAGACTTTTATACCAAATCAGTTTTGCTGTGTCTAAACGTTCAGACAGTGTGATGTTGTTTCAAGAGTCCATGCAGAACTGTACTGGACTGCATTTGCACTACAGTGTCATTTCTACGTTGTACACAATTGTTCCTCTTCTCTAAGTGGAATCCTTCTGACCCATGGTTCGAAAGAGCCTGAACTCTTCACCTTTCCACTTGAGAACTCTGCAGCCAGTCTGCAGTTTCAGACTTCATAATTTTATTTCTCACTTCCATAACCGATGCAAGATGTGATTCTAGTTTGTTTTGTTTTTTTTCATGTTTTTGTGAGTGCTGCGTTACAGTGACCTGAATTCAGTTGTGGTTATTTCAGCATCTCTCCAAAGTTCAGGTCTGTGGTCCATCCAGGCAAGCGCTTGACCTACATTCGTTGTCATTATTTCAGGAGGGTGGGCTGCGATGTAGAGCATTTCCGCAAGTAAACAATAATATGGTTTTGCTCTGACAGAACAAGCCTGCAGTTATAGATGCTATTTTAAAGCTCTGCATCACTAGTGGGGCCGTAATGAATGAGCAAATCAGATCTTCCAGTAGTAAGACCAGTCACCTGGAGATGTGACGGTGCAAATTGTAGTTATAGTAGACTTGTTTAGCTGCTTTTACTGCATAAAATGTTGCCTCCCCTCATTCAGTCCAACCACTGACTACTTTTAGAAACTATTCCATAAGCCTGGCCTGCGCTGTGGAGTATTTTTAGAGTTTTCCTGTGTTCTCGCCCAGTCCTAGTTGAGTTTGCACATAGAACATGTTGGATGTGTGAAATGAGTCATCAGAGAAGGCACAAGAGATTTTTTTTTCTTCTTTAATCCCCCGCTGTTCCAACTGTAACATGTTGTTTATCCCATTTGTCTCCATTGTTTCAGTTCATATTTGTGTTGATGTAATACTCCACCAATTATTCAACAACTCGTCATTTAAAAAACAGTCGTGGATGGAGTTTTCCACAGTGGAAAAAAAAGATGACATTGTATCATCATCTCTCTCTCTCATATATGCATGTATGCATATGATATTAACATTGAATCATAAGTTGCTGCATTGTGAGTCAAGTCACTCTGTAATAATACACATCACTCCAAACATCAGCACGGTACAAATTGCTTCTGTACCGCCAGCATTTTTGTCTCACGTCTTTGTTTTGGTCCTCTAGCTAAGACTGCACAAGTAGTAGATGTTTTTTTTTTTTTTTTGAGTATTACCAACAGTCATATGAGCTCATTCACGGATTTTTCCAGGTAGAGAAGCTTATATAGTCATTGCTTCCTGCCCACTGTGCATGTTGTGGTTAAAAGTGGGTAATAAATATATTCTGCTGTCTAATTTTCAATTATTCTGTTCTACTTTCCCACACTGAGCAGAATAGAGAGCAAAAAGCATTTTGACTTGCTTGTGTTTTATTCTAGGGTCGTTGGCAACACTGTTACACTTTCAGTCATTTAAAAGCCTGATTTTTGTCTCTTTTGTCGACTGTTTGTAACAGTTCATGAGTTAATAATTTCTTTAAGATTTCTTGTATCAAGTGTTTTCAGAATTACGACGATCTGTTGAGCAACAATGTAAAAAAACAAAATGTGCACCTATGTGTGGGAACATTTATGTAAGATACTAATAAAACAAAACCTATGCAAATTGCCACTCATATAAAAGTCCTAGCTGTTCTTTGTTACATTTGTACAGAAGAGAAAGCCTTTGGTCTTGCAACCAAACATATTTGAAGATGTCACTTAAGATTCTTCAGAATTGTTACAGGTATTTTTTTTTTCTGCACTTTTTTTATTTTATTTCATAGACTGAAAATTTAAAGACTGAAACATTTTTGGCATGATATTTGAAAACAAAACTGTTGTTAGTTGTATTATTAATTGTATTAGCATTGATATGACAGTATATTCTGATAAAATTGTCAAGTGTGTGCACTAACATTAATGTGGAAAAAAAGGAAATCCTTCATATCTTGGATTTAGAATTACAAATGGAATCGTTTCTTTCCTATCTAAATTATCTTCTTGTCATTTTGTAAAATTTTGCACTATTATTAAAAAACAACTGGTTTGATTGTAGGTGTACACAGGACTGTGCAAAGGTCTGAGCCACCTCTTGTTTCTTTATGTTTTTCTTGCAGGGTATTTTTCTTTGGACTGCTTTTGCACTCATTTTCAGTCCAGTCCTTGAGCATTTTCAAAAAAACATTTTGTTGAGCTACTTATCACACACCAAAACATTTTAACTCGTCTGCACACAACGGATAACTTGGCAAAGAACACATTTTAAATTTAATCTTCATGCACTTCATTACAAGCAGCCTCCCACAAAAACACAACTGTATTTTTCAGACCATAAGGTGGATTATGAGCGCACTGTCAATTTTTGAGAAAATTTAAGGATTTTAAGTGCACCTTATAGTCTGAAAAATATGGTATAATTTATTCCCATTTCTTTAGGCTAATCTTTGAAAAATGCTAAATATAACACAGTTTAACAGGCATAAAATAGTAATTATTTCCCAGCAAGGTGTTTCTGTGCCTGGTTCTGCTGGAGGTTTCTTCCTGTTAAAAGGGAATTCTTCTTTCCCACTGTCACCAAAGTGCTTGCTCATAGGGCGTCATATGATATATGTTGGATTTTTCTCTGTATGCATGTCTTACAACATAAAGTGCCTTGAGGCGACTGTTGTTGTGATTTGGCACTTTATAAATAAAATTGAATTTAATTCCTAAATAGCTATTAATTAAAAGACGAAAAAAAATCAGGTGAACAGTATTGCCAGAAATGGGGAGGTAAGCCCTGAGAGATGCATCTGGCCCTTCAACTGATCCATCTACTCTGCCCTGAAGTCTCATTAGAAATGGTCTCAGTGGAAGGGTAGCTCTCAAGAAACTACTCTTAATTGTAAATCCAAATAAAATTTTTTTTTTTTAGATATAACAGTCAATGTCTACAGATAACTGTCATGCTCTGTCTTTGTTTGGGCTGCAATTCAGCCAGTGGTGTTGGGATTGTCTCAAAACTAATAGAATTTCGAGCACAGAAAAATCTAAGAATTCGAGTCACTGTGTAAAAGAATCTGAAAAGTGTCTGGGAACATGTACAAACACAACAATGCAATAAACGCATACCTGGATAGAAGACCACACAATAGAACACTACCAGTCTTCAGCAATAAATTGCTGCTCTGGTTTCTCCTTTTTCTACTGCAGTAAAAACATACCTGAATCGAAAAAAGCCCCAAATGGAAAAACAGCCAGCCAACGTTCAACGAATGCCTTTGGAATATCCACCAAGGAGCCCAGGGAATTATTTCTGAAGAATAGAAATGAGGAGAATTTCTATTATATTGGAATTGTACAAACTCTGTTTCTGTCTTACATACTGTATATCCATGCAAGCTGGCACGTATCAATAAATCGCTGCACCCGTTCCCCATTTTCCAAGCAAAATATAAAGAAATGAGGCTGCCTCAAGACTTTTGCACAGTTCCGTAGTCAGTGCTTAATGTAATGCAAGTGAGTCATCAGGAAACAGGTGTTTACACACCTGAATGGAATGGAGCCCAGAACATGATTTGACCTGCAAGTTTCCTGCCATGACAAATCAGTCGTGTCCTCACGTCCGGCTCATTGTTTGCTAATAAAGTGTACCAGTTAGGAAGGTTCGTGCTTCCTCTCTTTATATTGTTTTTGTTGTCTGCTGCTCTACTCGAAACTTTAAAGAGTTTAAATTTGACCAATTCTGAAGTGCAAAGTAAAATTATTTCTAAATTCTATAACAGCATCCGGCGGTGTAAAAACGACAGCACTCTGTATATTAAAGCGAAGTGGGAAAAGGAGGGTAATTTG